GCAAGTCCTTTCCTTTGCAGGTCTCATTCAGCACCAGTTTTCCAGGGACACTTTGCAATTCTGATTTTGCACTAATACAAGAGGAGCAGGGATGTGTCCTTGTCGGGGTGCTCTTTCTTTCTGGGCTCGGTTGTGCAGCTCTCTGCAGGCTCCAGCACTCTCAGCAGGGCAACCCTGCTTGCATGCTGCCTCACCTGGGCTCTCTTGAGCTGCAGGGGGAGGGAAGCACCCCCAGGGCTTTAGAACTTCTCCTCTAGTCACTAAAGCAATGGTGTTGGAGTTGAGGAGAGCAAGGAGTACATCAGTGACATGGGGCAGGTGCTGTGTGCTGGTGATGCAGGGATCCTGTGCTGCTGGCTATCCGCAAGGCTAAGGGAACAACACTCCTTTTTCTGACACCCTGTTTTTTGGTTTGTTTTTTTTTCTGATGTATTTTTAAATGAACATAGCTTTTTTTTTTTAAAGCATAATTAATAATCATTCTGTGTTCTCTGAGTGCTCAGCTGCAGCCCGAGGAGTGGGAGGCTCTGCTTGTCATTGGCACAGGAACAAGGAAGGTACGCAGTGTGTCTTTTAATAGCACGATCTTGGCAGCCCTGGATGCTCCGGGTACCACCAGCAAACTGCAGCCTTTGTCACGGCCCTGGCTGTTTCTAAATGAATTGACTTTGACCACAAGAGTAGACAAAGGGGTTTGGGAAATACAATTTTGAAGTCATTAATCTAGTTAAAAGAAAAAAAATAATAGGATAGGTAGTCTTGGTAGCTCTTTGCTCTGCTTGGGCTCTATTTCTGGGATGAACCCTCATGGTTATTCTCAGCTCCAGTGATTAAGTTGCCAGAGAGAAGATGAGTCTTTGCAATCCGCTTAACCGCAGCGATATCGCAGTAAGCGACCTCCTAATGAACATTAAGGTGCTGTGGTAATAAGGATAATTTCCCTGGTGGTAACACGGGGGCAGGGAAGTTATTGCAGGTTCTTTACTTGCAGCATCATCCTTCTGGCAGGACTTTCTCAAATATCTGCATGGGATATCCTCTGTACAGCGTTTCCTTTTGATAGTGAAAGAATTGGTTATGCTTATCAGTTGCTGATAAATCTGCAGTTTTGTTGCATTGCAATTGCAGTACAAAGTACAAAGGCTGTGGCCTTGCCTTGCTGTGGGTCCTGGGTCATCATGGGGCTGCTTTATTAAAAGGCAAAGCTGTCACTGGTGTCACTGCTAGTGATATCTCAACTTGCTTTTACCTAACGTTAGGTCCACATAAGGTTTATTTTTCTCCCAGGAACGCTGTGCTGTATCCAGATCTGAAGTACAAGCCCATGTGCTTCGTCTGGGAGGAGCAGGTGTGGGATTATTGCATTCTTTGGTGACTGTCACCCCGTGTTGTCCTGTCTGTCTGTGTCACCCGGTCTATTTGTGTGGCCCTATGAAGTTCAGATGATCTCTGCAGAGAATTGGGTTGTTTGAATGTGATTTGAGCTCACAAATGATGCAGTTATCTGTACGATCAGATAAACTCCTTCATTGCAGTCCTTTCCTTTGCAAGGCTTCCTATTCAGTCAGCATTCCAGTTGCTGGTCTTATCTCTGACCGTCTCCAGGTTCTGCAGGACCTGTCAGGGTCAGTGTTGGGCTGCTGGCACGAATGCAGTGCTGGTGACACGTGTGCTCTTGGAAGCACTGCTGGAGCTGGATGGAAGGGGCACAGCACTGCCTTGGCTACAGGGGGCCCTCATCTCCTGCAGTTTGGTTTCTGGTCTCTCAATCTTTGCCTCTTGCCCTCTTGAAAAAGGAAAGCAGCCGGATGAACAGCCCTGCTTGCCAGAACCTGTCTCTGATCCAAAGCGCTAGCGCAGCGTGAGCAGCAGAGAAGTGATCTTCCTGGCCCTGCTCATCCGTGCATCCAGGAGGAGAGGCTGCTCTGCCTGTCACCTGAATGGGGGGGAAAGCAGTGGCACGGTGAAATGTGTGCCTGGAACTGCAAATCAAAACAGTTTGCGCATTGAGATGCACTTTAGAAATTTCTTTAAATAGTGGGTTTTGCTCTGGATGAGTTGAACAGCTATTTTTAAGAGTGCGTAGGAAAAGCAGACTTTATCACATGCAGCCCTGTAGTTTTATCCCCGGCGCTGTCGGTTGCCAGCACTGAACCCTGCTGTTAATTCACACCCTCAATACAAGGCTTCACCACCCTGAAATCACGGGAGCATTTGTTGTCATTTTCAAACAGTGTGGTCAGCCAGCACAGCACTCAGGTGTAAGAACTAGGTCAGCTCAGTTGGAGCAGAGATCTCGTCCCCTGCCTAGCACAAGGCTGCCCAGATGGATTGGACCCAGCCACGGCACTGAAAGACTGCAAGCCAAAACCTGCTGCAGAACCTTGCTGCTCGTAGGCGTTCCCTGCTGGCCACACGAAGCCCACTGGGATGTCGTCTCTTTTTGGGTAATGTGGGTAGAAGAGAGAAGCCCTTTGCCTGTGACAGAAGATGGCATGAGTTAGAAAATGCGCCTGGCAGAAAGGAATTCTGATGTAGCCTCTGTGGGGTGAGGAATTTGCATTGCTTTACTTGTTTTCCTTCCCACCCCCCAGATCTTCGTCCAGCATATCAGAAACACATAATAAAAGAATGGCTTGGAGTTTAACAGCAGTTTTAGCCGTGGCTAATGGAAGCCTTAGGATTTTCTTGGCGGCCTTTTCAGAAACGCAATCCGCATTAAGAGTTATTTTTTAAAAAATCACATGTTATTTCCAGTGTTCTGCTCAAACTTGCTCTGACAAATTGATAAATAGTTATAAAGGAAAGGACGTTGTGGTGTAAGGGGTTCCACACAGTCTGCTTGTCCACATGGTCCATCCCTCCGCATTTCCCCAGTGTCAGTTCTGATCCCAGCGTTCAGCAAAGTTGCACACAGCCTTGCACTCTCTTGGATTTTACTTCCCAAAGATGTTTTCCTTGGTCTATTTCTTTTTTGCTCTCTTTTCCTGCTGCTGTGTTACTTCTCTGCTATGCTGAGCTAGGTAGTCTCGTGCTATTTCTCACTGGTGCTTCCACGAGGGGCACGCTCCATGGGCACAGTGGGTTGGGGCTGCACCTGGGGATCTTAGAGCTCTTTTCCCACCTCAGTGATTCCTATGTCTTCCTTCAGAACGTGAAGGATTCTTCATCACCGGTATAAATGCTGTGAGCTGTTTGGTTTATCACCACTCGTATCTGAGCTATTTGTAGTTGTATTAGTCTTCCTGAATGGCATAACCCACCAAGTGTTAACAGTTCTTTCTTTTAGTTTGGCAACCCAAAGACCTGTGCCTTGTTGGCATCCTTCTGCCTGCACAGTAGACCCATCTTTGAGCCTGCAGGCTTGTACTTATAGAATCATCCAGGTTGGAAAAGACATCTGAGATCCCCAGCCATGCCTTCAGACCACGTCCAAGAAGCACTGTACGAAGCTGCACCCTGCTTCGTTCTGCTGCTTAGGAGCTGCTTCCTCCTTTTATTCTTTCTCAGGAATTTTGTCTGTATGCTGTGGAGGAATGCATATTTTTGGCAGCAAGTAGTCACGCCAGAATTGATCTCCCTAGTCTGTGAATTCATGCCACTGTCGCTGTCATCTTTACCCGTGTCTCATCTCATTTGCTGTCTGTCCACTGTCATTTTGGGATTCTTTTTATAACACGGCTGTTTAGCTTCTCACCATTGTTGAAGATGGATTAAAATCGTTCCATTTATTCTGCAGTTCTGTTCTGCTTTGCAGTGTGACTACTAGGCGACTAATAGGCTGTGAGCCTCAGAGATGTTTCTGTGCAGTTTCTCCTGACCAGCCAGCAGGCTGCCCAGCCTTTACTTCTCACTCCTTGAGGCTCAACATCAGCCAGCTCTGGGCACCTCGGCCTGCCCCAGCTTTTGCCCCTCAGGGCCTCTCTCAGGGATGGAGCACAGCCCTGTGTGCTGGCACTGCTGCAGGCTGTGTGTGCCTGGCAGGGCTGCAGGGCTCCTGGCTTTGGCTGCCATGGGAGCAGGCATGCGTGGATGTCGGAGCCTGGGGAAACACAAACAGCACAGATGCCAGGGCTGCCGTGAGATGGCTCTGGCACTGGCATTGTGCGAGGGCTCTGCTCCGCAGGCGGCCTGGGCTGCCTTCTGCTCTCCTGAGCCTGCAGTGCAGTGCTGCCAGATGAGCTGAACGCAGCTCAGACTCCCCGATGTGTCACAGTGGGTGCCATGTTACAAGCCCCCATAGCATATCCCACTGCACAGCTTTCTGTGGGGGCTTCAGCAGCAAACCCCAAAGCAGCCCCTCGGAGCAGGGCAGAGCGCCTTGTCTGCACGCTGAGTGGCACAGCAGTTCTCCTCATTTGTCAGGGAAAGAAAAGGAAAACCTTCAATGTTCTTGCTGTGCAACTTGCACCACAGCCTTTTGGTGAGCAGTAAAGCCCCAGGAGCAGAGCAGAGGGCTGGGAGCACTGGGTTTGCTCCCTCCCTGTGCTGCTGTGCCCTGCTGCCACCTGGGTGCTCGGTGGGAACAGTGGCTGTGTTGCTGTGTGTGCCAGGGTGGCAAGAAGTAATGGCCATGAGCTGTGATTTGAGCTTAGAATCGCGTACAAATGCAATTCCTTTTCTGAATTACAGTTTTTCAGACTGGCTTCTATCGGAGCCAGCTCAAGTCTTTTTCTGTGTATCTGGAAAGGGTTCAGTTAAAGAAAATCCCTTGTAAGTGGAACCTGTTAGCTTTGATCCCGTATTCCTATGTGTGTTTCAATCTTGCTTAGATTGCAGAGCCTTGTGAACACCAATTACGTTTCACATGATTTTACTAGGTGTTAAATTGCCCGTTCCCTAATAGAGAACTACACTTGCCGAACATTGGCTGCCAGGTGTTAAGGTGGGATTGATCAGCACGTTACAAACCAGCTGTGATACCAGCAGCTAGCTACCTGCTTTGTTACCCCAAATGGGTTGTTATTCAAAACTAAAGCTGCAGCTGTTCTTTCTTTCAGGCTGCTCGTCTGAAGAAGTTGAACTGAACAAGTTCTTGTAGTGGGGAGCGCTTTAATCTCAATAATGAAGAAAAGCCGCAGTGTCATGGCAGTGACTGCAGATGAGGTACTTTTCTTCAAAAACGTGTTGTGCTTTTTGCAATACTCTGTGAAAGTAAGGTCAGAAGTCTCTTTTGTCTTTGTATCAGCTGGTTTTGCTCCAGTGACTCGTTGATTTTCTTAGAGTTGTTTGCAGTTCATGCATTAAGCAGTAAATAAAACAAACACACTGTGAATTCTAAAGAGTTCTTCTTTGCTTGGTGTTATAATGCTAGGTGAGACCCTTGACATTCCTATCTCTTAGGAAACTCTGTTCTGGATCCCCTGTCTGTGCATGTGCTGCACTTGTATGCTTAATAGCTTCTATGCATACAAGTTCAGCATCTCTTGCTGTGGTAGCTGCTGAGCATCTAATGCGATGATGCATGTTATTCCATTACTATGCTTGTTAATCGTCATCATGATCTTCTATTAATTAAAAGCCAGTTCCCATTCTCTGGAGAAATGCATCAGTTTGTAATGATGGCGTGATAACTACAACATTAATTGCCTTGCTTGTCACAGCTGGGGCCCTCCAAAAATGGAAAACCACAGAAATGTATGTGGAAATACAGGGGAGGAGTAGAGCTTAAGAGCATCCTGCAGCACTCCTGCAGCAGCTGAGTGATTCTTTTACATTCTTAGAGCATATGTTGTGTTGCTTTGCAGTCAGTTTGCCTGCACCTGCTGGTAGGGCTGCCACAGTCCACTCAGTCTTTGCTGATAACGAAAACAGACACCTGACATCTACTGGGAACTTAAGAAATGTGCAGCAGTGTGTTCTAAGTGATAACAAAACAACTGAAGTCTCAAAAAATTACTAATAAAGGCCGGTGAAGTGAGACCTTCCACAGAACCCCTTTCTGGGGTTTTTAGGAGTGTTTTGTCTGGAATTTGTGCTGTTTAAGAGCAGGGTTTGAATCTGAAGCTCTCTGGCCTATTTTTGGAAGGACAGCAGATCAAATATTTCAGCTTCTGCCTGGATGATTTTGATGCTTTAGTAACTTTGTGAATCTGTACCAGCACGCCCTGAAGGACCTAAGGAGTCATTATGGAAACTTAACCAATCATTTATTTTTCAAAGCTCAGAAGAGTGGGGACAACAGGGAAGAGATCAAAATTCAGAAGCAGGCAGAAGAGTAAAAATGTAGAGGTTGCCACATATCTGCACGCCTACTGTAATAACCCTTCAGCTTCAGTCACTGCACAGTACAGAAATAGTCTCATTGGAATTGAGCAATTCTGTTGGACTAGCTGAACTCTACAAGACCAACACAAGCAGCCTTCTTGCAGTGCTCTTCTTGGAAAGGCTGACAACCAGTTCTGTGATCACAGGGGCGTAGAAAGAAGTAGAAACTCGCAGAGAAACAGAGACTTTCTTTTGGAAAGGACAGGCTTAGGCCAGGTAGCCTCGCTGGAAGTTCTCTCGGAGTTAGCTGGTGGTTTGGCATGTATCCAAACTCAGTGCTTTTGTGACCTTTCTTTGCCTGGTGAGCCGTCACAAAAACAAGAGGCAAACCAAAATGTTTGTGATGTGGAGAGGAATCTTGTGAAAGATGTTGAGTGGAATATTACCAGAAAAAGTTCGTGTCACCAAAGTGACCTGGATGATTCAGCTAGGTTAGAATTGGGCTGAATTTAGCTTGGACATGTTGCAAATGGATTTTCAAGTTCATTCACAACTTGATAAAACAGTGCAATGCAGTGCAGTCAAACTCTGCCAGGATTTTTATCCAGTTATGTTTTGTGAGTAGCTGTACCTGTAATACAAAACAATTGCACGTGGTTTATTCTCGTGGAGGAAACCATTTGTTGTCTGCAGAACTTCAGTGGCTTTTCTCTTTGCAGAATGCTCTGGATTACCTGGAGTGTGGGCTGAGCAAGTCCTACAGTACTTCCAGCCATGCTCTGGGCATAGACCTCTGGAGAGGAAGAAGGTGCTGTTCTGGCAACCTGCAGTTACCACCACTGTCCCAAAGACAAACAGAGAAAGCGAGGACACCTGACAGAGACATCGTCTGTAGGCCAACAACTCTGCCCTTGTTGGCACCTCCAAGTATTGCAATCACCACTTACCAAGACTGGTAGGTTATTTTCCTTTGCTACAACCCTCATGCTGTTGTTTATTTGGGGACTGTTGTTACTTGCTGGTGTTTTGTTGTTTGTTCTTTTGTTTGTGATGGTGGTATTGCTTTTTTTTTTCTTTCTGAAGGGCACGAAATAATTTATTAATTTATTAGAATTGTTAATAATAGTTTATTAGAATGTGTATCAGCTGGTGCATCGTGGAGTGACCTTTACAGAGTAATTGTTTGTCCTTTTGGAAACTCTGCTTATGTTGCAGACCTCTTTTGTTCACTTCTGTGCATCTCCAAGAAACTTCTGTGCTGTAACTTCTGATTCTGGAGAAGGGATTTGTGTCATTAGCTTTTCACCCACAGAAGAGTTTAGGATGGTGTTGAACTCTTCTGTGACAGATCCAGGCCTTGGCTTGTGGGCTATTTTCTGTCCAGGTGTTAAGGAGAGACTTTCTTTGTTAGGAAAAGGCATTTAAGTCTAATGTTAAGCTCAAGAAAAGTCCCAAAGAAGCTATGGGAGTGCTGATTAAAGGGGGCAGGGGAATGCAGTGAGTTGAGTTCCAAAACAAAAACTGAATTTTAAGTGTAAAAGCAAGGGAATTCATCTGGAGGCAGGGAGGGGAAGACAAGCTGCAAGAGGTAACGTTCTGGAATTGCAATGGTAGAGTTTGATGGCAATATAAAGCAAGAAGTCCAGCTTGCCATATGATTCTTGCAGTGGCATTGCAGTGTGCTGTGAACGTTGTCCTCTCAGCTTCACATTTCAATAGCACTTTGGGTTCAAGGTTTTACATACTCTGCTCTCGATTTTGTTTGCTGCTGCTAGGTGTATTCACTTCATTATTTCATAGTCTGAATCTGGTTTTAGCTTCTGTTAAGCTCAGCACTCAGTCTTCAAGTCCAGCATTGCAATTTGCATTTGAAAAATGGTAGAGGACATCCTAAATTAATTTGTTACGGTACTTTAAAAATGATGCACTTAATGTAGATGAGATACAGAAATCAAAGAGGAATTAGCAGGGGCTTCTGTTCGATATTTGCATTTAATTACTGTGAATAAAGTTAACAAGAAGAGTTTGTAATTTCAGATGGATAGCTCGTGGTTGGTTGGCTCACCTCTTATGAGCATGTTAAGAGTGTTCTCTTTTGTGTGTGTGCAACAATTTGTAATCCTGTCTACAGGACAATGTGGAGTCTGTTCATAATGTGCACTTTTGTAACGTTGGTCTTTGTATAAACCTTCATCCATGACTTAAAAAACTGCAAGTAGCATCAGTGAATTGATGATTAGCTTCATCACAACACAAGAGGGCAATGCTGTTCCTCTCTTCCATCACAGGAGAGTCAGTACAAGGGAATGGTGTCACAGGTGGCAAGTTCTGGAACAGCACACCAGTCAGAGAGAAAGCACTTCTCAGTGGCACTCAGCTTACTCCTTTATTGTTATTAATCAATAAGCAGTTGGCTTCTGACTAATTAATTTCAGCTCCTGTATTGGGGTACAGTCCTGTGTGAAATACGCCCCGGAGGCAGCTTACATTTATGTAAGTCCACTCTGCGTCGTTGTGTTGGAACAGCCTTGGGATGATGTGGGCATTAAGAGACTCAGTGAGCGGGCAGTGAAGTGATGGGAAAATTTCAGTGTGATAAACATGAAGTGATGTGTGTGAGCATGAAAGAATGGTAACTGCAAAATATGTTACTGCTCAGGAACAAGATCCTGGGAGCAGGAGAGAAGTCTGACGGCATGGCACGTTCATGCATGTTAGTGGTGGAATAAAGCACATCAAAAGTTAAGGGTTGGAAGGAAAAGTGGAGGATGAAGTAAGCAACAGTGGGACCCTGTGGTAAGAACCCATTATTCAGCCAAATCTGGATACAGTGGATGGTTCTGGCCTGTTTCTGTTTCCCAAGGTACGGTCTGGCTGTAGCTTGCAGGGGATGAGTTTGTTGGTGCTGTTATAGAGGTGAATTTAATGGAGCGTGCAATGGGAAACCCTGCTCTAAGTTTAAAGGTCAAGGACATCTGGGGTTTGCACAACTGAAAAATAATGTAGGGCCCAGATTTGGGCTTTCTGTCAGATAAATCTTATGCATCTGCTGTAATTTTTTTTAACATTCCCTTAGCATGATATATTTTTTTTTCTCCTGAGTCTTCAGAGTTGTGGGTTGGAGGCTCTTTCTAGAGGAGACCAACGGGACTCATTCAGAAGCATGGAGGCATGGAGAAGCCTGAGCACTCTGCAAGTTGTTCTGTGTGCAAAACTCCAAAGAGAGTTGTGGCATGCCTCGTTATTATGACATGAAGCCTAATTCTTTGAGATGCCATTATTTCATCTGCCTGTTGTGCACAGAGAAATCATCTGGTTGGTTTTTTTTTTTGCTGACTGTAAGACTACAGAAGGGCTTTCCAGTGACACAAGCTGACTTTCTGAAACACAGATCCCTCATTACACTGCCATACTGGTACGTCTTCAGGAGCACATGCAAAACCTCTGTGAGGGACATTGTCCCTGTCACGTAGAGCAAATGTGATGGAAGCACGGCTTTCCGTGGGCATTATGCACCAGACAAAGAAACCACTTTGGTTTGGGCTTTTGTTTCCTGTTTGTGCAAACCATTGTTGTCTTTGTAGAAATTTATCATCTCGAACAGAAAAACAAGAAGGTAGTTTCTGGAGAGGCAGGAATAAATCAAAACCCCATCACTGAAGGATTGCTCTGAGCAGGAAACTCTCGGAAGGAGTGGCCAGGGATCTGCCTTTGTTGGGGTCAGTGCTCCTGCAAACTCCATCGCATCCTTGGGAAAACGTGTGCTGTGTGCCTCTTTGGGGCATGCGTTCTGCTGAGCCACTCTCTACCAGTTTCTCTGTGTCTTTCTAGTACAAAAATCTCTGCTGCACACTTAGTGCTTGTGTTATCAAGTGCTTGTGCTGGAATGCTGTTGCTTTCTGGTGGTTTCTTCAAACACTTTCTTACCTCTGTTGCTGCAGAGCATTTTGCTCTTTGGGCTCTGCACTGACCAGAATGCCAGATGACAAATGTCTCTGCCATCAGATGAGATTTCATACTGAAATCCGGGGAGGGATTTTATGTATAATGATGTATCTGTCGTTCTTCCCAGAGCAATTCTGGAGAGGCCCCATCTGTGCAGTGCAGTGCTTTCTGCTAACTGCTGGGGTATTCATCTGTGTGCATTACCCTTAGGGAGGGTAATGGGTGGGCTGAGATGCCTCTAAAGGAAATAATTCCACCACAGGGTTCTGTTGGCATCCAAAGCTGTGAAGACAAATTGATGGCTAAGAAGGAAAAATCATCAATTCCAAACAAAGAACTCAAACCAACACCCCTACCCCTATATAGCCAAAAGATCTCGGCTGATTTCCATCAGCACTTGCTGGGGTAAGCTTAGAACCTAAACAGTTGTGCTGCCTGTGGACCACTGTAGGGTGCCAGGAATTCAGGTGGGATTAGTTCTGATGCAGATCATGGAGCTCAGGTGGGGATTTGGAAATAACCACACACTGTGCACAGTGCTGTATGTTACCAAGTTCTGCAAAATCTGGTGTAGCAAAGGAGAACATAGCCAGAATGGTGTTACAGCAGCGTTACTACTTTGCTTCCCTTCAAAAATACAGGTTAGGGGGAATTTGGTTTGGTTTGAGCTTACGGTATTCATCTGCAGCATCAGTGCTGTGCCACTCAGTAGGCTGAGAGTGTGCTGATGGAGGAGGCACAGCCTGATTGGAAGAAAGGAATAACAGGGTTCAAGTAGAGAATGTGTTATCTGGAAGCAGCAGAAGATAAGGTATGGCTGATTGCTTGTCAAGTGTTTTCCTGCCATGTTTTCTTCAGGAATTGCCTTACTTCTGCCTGCCAGTGGTACTGCAGAGGTAAGCTGTGCGAGCTGGGCCGTGACTTACATAACACTGCCACTAAGATACATGGGAACCTAAAAATAAAGCTGCTCCTCGGGGTGTTTTTGCTCTTTTTTTATTTTGTGAGAACTGTGTTTTCTTGAGGCCAGTGCTGCTGTAAGTAGCAAAAAAGTGAGCAGACTGGAACCAAAGCAATAACAAAAAGCCGGCTGTGGTGTAATAGCATTTTGTGTGGAAATGGCACAGCAGCACACGTACAGAACAGCTTTTGTAAATCATACAGGAGAAGGAGTGTACAGGATACAGGTCTGCAGTGGCAGTCTGACTGCAGGAGCTTTACAGCAGCTTTGTACGCACACCCCCTGTATTTTCATAAGGGTTGTTACGATGTCTTCTGCAGCCCTGTGGTGTTTGTGATAATCAGTGGGAGGAACCAGGGTGTGAGCAGTGGGCTGGGAGCAGTGCAGAGCATCCAAAGCAGCCTGAGCCTTTCCTCAGGGCTGAGGTCTGTCCCAGGCCCCTGGGGGCACCTGCAGTGTTTGTGGCAAAGCTGTTGTGCGGTCCATCCCAAAGCGTGAGGAGATTGAGGCAGCTTTAAGAATTCGGTGAGAAGCTTTTGTGCTTAATATAACGAGGAGCACACCTTTTTAGGTCATAGAGCGTCTATTAAACCATGGAATCCCCAAGGTTGGAAAAGGCCCCCAAGGTTACCCAGCCCACCCACCCACCTACCGCCAGCATTTCCCACTGAACCACGTCCCTCAGTGCCACATCCACCCCTCCCTTCCACACTTGCAGGGTTGGTGACTCCCTGGTCAGCCCATTCCACTCCCTGACCGCTCTATCAGAGAAGACGTTTTTCCTACCATCCAACCTGTCCCTCCCCTGGCACGATGTGAGGCCATCGCCTCTCGTCCTGTCACCACTTACGTGGGAGCCAGGGGTGACCCTCACCTCACCACAGCCTGCCCTGAGGAGCTATGGAGCAGTGAGGTCTCCCCTGAGCCTCCTCTGCTGCACACTGAGCAGCCCGGCTCCCTCAGCCACTCCTCATAAGGCTTGTGCTCCACACCCCGCATCAGCTTCATTGCCTTTCTAAATATGCGTGGTGTTAATTATGCCTCACTCG